GGGTGGAATTCCATGTAGTCACAACAAACTAACCAAAATCATTTTATTTACCATGTTAAAACATAGAAAGAATTGTTATAACATGTCTATATAATAAATTTCCTGTACTTTCTAAATGAAAATTAAAGAATAATGTGAAAACAACTATACAAACCTCTTTCAAAATTTGACCTCCATACAGAAATACATTCACAAGGTTCAAAAAGCTTAAAAAAAGATCAAGCCATTGGTAAACCCTCCCACTTCTGCAATTCATATGTATTACGTTCAAAAAAGAATTATAATTCCCTCTGGAAGGAGGGCACGTTTTTCAAGTAAGACAAGGTGCACATGTTGCCAGGACCATCTGAAGTGGAAAAGCAATATCCACACTTGGTTAGGGATTGCCAGTTTGCTGGCATTCAGCTGGGGGGCAGAAGTTTCGGCTCAGTGCGGCTGCAGCACCCTGCGCCCCCACTGGGATCACCTGCAAACGTGCTTTTTATGAGTGCAGAGCACACCAAAAGCAGGGTATGCCCGTTCCCCTTGCCTGCACCCCACTAGTGGGGGGCATGAGACCTACAGCAGGGCCAGGGTACAGCCATCCCCACACCCGGCACCTGCCAACCTCCCGGCAGCAGCGGGGGCAGCACAGCAGGAGGGTCCTGAACACAAAGTTCTACCCATGGCTGGCTGGTGCCTTCGTTCTTCTCTCATCTCCTTTCTCTTGCTTTCTCTTTTTTTTTCCTGGCCCAGCCCCCTCACTTCAATCCCCAAGAGACAGGACACAGTCTGGCGACTCAGGGACTCACGTAGGCCAGGCTTCCTTCTGTGCAGCCCTTTGGGTAGAGCTGCTAATCCTTCTTATTAATTAACAAGATAATAGCAGTTAACCGGAAAGCAATATTAGTGCTAACTATCTAGGAAACTTCCAACAGAAACGATTTATTCTTTTTGCCAATTTCCTGGTAACAAAGTCATGCAGCTGGAGCTGTGGCAGCATCTTGATGGTTTAAGACACTAAAAAACCAAGAATGCCTGAACAGTTCGGGACTAAGGACATCTGTGTCTGTTTTCTGCTTCACTCCCTGGATAGTTTAAAAGATCCTCTCCTACCTCGACTCCAGAGTTTATTAACAGCTGGGAATGTGGGCTCCCCCAATTATATCACCCTTACATAAGGACAAAGGAGAGTGTAAACAGTAACATGACTGATCAGAGAAACATAGTCTGAGAGGCACATGCACTAAAAACACTTAAAAATGTTAACATTTACATGTACCATTGCTTCAGCACTTTAAACTCACAAAGCATTTCTCAAGGTCTACTGTGCTTCATTCAGTATATGCTGAAATACCTAACACCAAGTTAGGATTTTATTTTTGCTGCAAAAATAAAAGTAGAAGAGGTGATGCAGGATTTAGGGATCCTGCAGACCAGGCACATTGCTATAGATATCTTATGTTTTAGAAAAAAAAAGTAAGGCAATTTTTAATTTTTTTTTTTTTTAATTACTGTAAGAGTAAGTAAAACATATATCAGAAGAAGGGATTTATATTATCTAGGTTCTGTTGCAGCAAACAAGTACTGCAGCTTTCATTCACTGATTGTCAAAAACTTTCCAATGTGCCCACTGCAATGCGGATGCCAACCAACGAATCAAAGGCATTCAGCAACTAGACAAAGAGGGTCTGATGCCAACCTCGGTGCCACTGGCAACCATTATTGGCATCAAGCACATTGTCTGCCTTTTTTTTCCCTTCTCCTGGCACTCAACAAACAAAATGGCGGTTCTTGTAGCAACGGGAACACAGCATAAGCGCTGCACTGAATCAAATACCATCAAATGATTTTATGGACTGAAATACCAAACGACAGACACTCTCCGATGCCTGACAGGGGGGAAAAAAAATAAAAATAAAAAAGAGATACTTCTGTCAATAAAAACAGCACTCATGCCATTTTTGAGTTTGGGGTTTATAAAAGCTCTTTGTGGGACATACACACACACTTGATACACACAAGAAGCAGAGCCCCATAGAAGTGTCTTATGATCAAGAATTATTTTGACCTTAAACACTGATTACAGTATATACTTCCCATTTTCTTCCTCCATTTCAGTCAAAGCAGCAGCATCACAAGGTATGACAATCCCCCCTTTTTTTTTTTCAAGATGTTAAATCACAAGAACACAGCAGAAAGAGCATAGAGGGGAAAAAAAAGATCTGAATGTTGAGATAAGCAAAAAGTAGAATCAGGGAAAGTTGGTCAGTGACAGAACTTCATAGATCAATCCTAATCTCTTCTTTCAAGGGAGATATGGAAGTAGCAGCTCTTTTTGTTAAGAACTGAAAAGATTATTGACACTTCTAGATCTGGAAATTGTCAATATATTGTAACATTACTCTGCACTGCAATGCGGATGCCAACCAACAAATCACAGACATCCTAGGCTAAACAAAGAAGGTCTGATGCCAATCCTGGTGCCACTGGCAACCATCACTGGCACTCAAACTATCCGTCCTCCTCTTTTTCCCCTAATCTTCCTTTTTAAAGCAACAAAAAAGCAAACTACTTGGCCCCTTTATTCATGTTATGCGCTATTTCCTTCATCATATTTCGTTCAGGGATTTAATTGTTTCAATGTCTCCGCTTAGTTTTTACATTATAATATTAGGTATGTTTATATCTTTGGAAAGATAAATAAAAGACAAAACAACATATGTATAATGCAGCATTTTGGTTGACTTCATGCTTATCTTTCACAAAGCCTAGCGCTCTTAATCAAGTGCACTACAAAGTGCCACAATTAACTTGCTGTCAATGACTATAGAGAATCAAAGTTTGAAAAAATGGGAAAAAAATACATAGATAACTTAGTATGACTTCTTCAAGAAGAGCGCCAACAGATGTTAGTAGAAGATTTACTGTAAAGTAGCAAGACAGATACAAAATACATGCAGTTTATAGTAAACAAAAGGGTCTCCTAAGAGTGATCTGGTATATAGAAATTAGCCAGCTTCATCTTCCAGTATAGTCTCAAAGTACCATCATGTAACTTTGAAAGCTATAATATTACAGCAAGCTTATCTCACTCATTTCTGATTAGACAAGTGTTTTAAATAAACTCATATTCTCAATCCATTTAAATCAATAAAATCAGCTATGCCCTGCAATTCCTTCTCCCACTTCAGGTTACTAGGTTCCAACAACTTGTAAGTCGACAGTGTGTTAAGAGTACTCTAACCCCAGATTCTTCGGCTCAAGAGCTGCTAATACAGTTTTGCCTCCTTTTGCAGTTTTGACTTTTAGAAACAGGTAAATCCATAAAATTAATCAGTAAGCTATGCACTATATGCATTCAAAATATTATTTGGCTTTTTTTTTCAAAAAAGGAGTTTAAAGGTACAAATTATTTGTAATTAAGCTATGTTGTTTAATGCTATCAAAGAAATCTTTCTTCCTATCAGATTTACCAGATTCTGTAGCTACTTAAAGTTGCTGTAAAATATCTAAATGTGTTTGCTGCTGTGGAGACAAAACCCACAAAAAATACAAGTAAGAGAGGGGAAAAACCAATACTTTTTTTTTCATGACAAATAGTCCAAAAAAAAGAACCTGATTTATATGATCACTTAAACAGTGCTCCACTCGCATGAGCAACTGCTAAAAGAGAAATTCACTTAAAACAAAAAGATTGTGTTTTGTATCCATTCTTTGAAAGAATAAACACCAAATGAAGACTTGCAATTTTACTTTTTTGTTACTAACAAAATCAATTCCATTTGTTTTCCAGTTAAATCTTGAAGTTATTTATTGGGCATCAGATAACAGCCTGCCATCTGCCCTTCTGCAGGCCATTTCTGCCTACTACCAGGCCAAGTAGTGAAATGGCCCCACTATCTGCGGACAGTCAAACTTTCCATAGATCTGCGGCTAAAAAATAAATGCTTTCTTACTGCTGATCAATCAGCAGTACAAAGACACCTAGAAGACGGTATCATCACCAGAAAGAACCAAAATGATTCCTAATTGAGAAAACATATTTCAGAAGCTTTAGCATCAGAGAAAAAAAAAACCCACCTTTATCAACTTACAGCCATTTACAACTTTAGGGAACGTGCCTATGAGTATTTTTATTGAATATGCAATATGACTAGTAGGTTTTTGCCCTTATACATGATTATCAGAAGCCCTGTTTTTATTTGCATCCTGCAGAAACTGAGTTTAAGAAGCTTTTCTATAAAGCTCCTGCAATTTTGCACATTTCAATTACCTGCCAAATGAAAGTATCTGAATGTGATTATGAATATATACTTTACATAGAAAATTATCTCAAAATATTATGACCTGGATCTTTGTTTTAAAGCTTACATAGGTAAGATAAGTTAGTAATGTAAAATATTAATAAAACTTTAGGCATGCTGTAATTTTGATTCTATTTGGTATTTACAAGAAATATATCTGTGCCAAAGTATTTTCAAGTTTTGTTTTATAGGCTTGAGAAAGTCTACAGTTGCTCTTCCATGTGATAGCAGATTCATCAGTTTAAGGATAACTTCCTGATTATTTGTAACTACAAAGACAGTAATAAATATTTGTAGTATGTGTAATTGCACATACCTTCATCTGTTAATAACACTACTGTAGAGGTTGGTTTTGGTGTTTTGGTTTTTTTTTAAAAAAGAATGTTTTCTGAAGTCATAATTATATATTTCCACTTTTTGACCAAAAAAAAGGCAACTTCAGTGGAATGAAAGTACTTACTGTCTTGGTATGGGTCTCTCTTGAAAGAGAACAAGGCACGTATATCAAACATGCATGTCACTTACACGTTTGTAGGAATATGTGTGTGTTTAAGTATATCTGTATACATGCTGATTTACAAATGGGTATGTACCCACATTACATCTGCAGACCACAGAATAATGTTCACTGGAAGCCAGCCCACAGGGGAAGCAGGGCTACTTGGAATCAGAGTTTGACATACTAACATAGAAATATGACAATCTGCTTCCTACCTTGCTCCTGCACGTAGTATGCCAAAAACAAATCAAGCTCCTTGACTGATACTGTTATGTGATGTGGCTGGACGCAAAGTGCTGGATTTGTGCAATGTGGGGATTTCATGAGACGTTCTCCATCCGTACTTTCCAAGGGGATGCCTTTGAACAGGATCACCATGACTAGATCCAGACGCCAGACTTTGTCAGCCTGTCTCAGGCAATCGATTCTCCTAATCTTGCCCTTCTGGTCAGGATTGGACAATACACAGCATGGGTGCTTCTTCCCAGTCACCGTGAGCACAAAATCCTCCCGGAACTCTTGGCGAATATCTTTGCGCAGCTTGGCCAGGAGTCTGGATGCCCACTTCTGTTTAATTTCAGGCTTTTCACTAAGTAGCTCATCCTTGACTGCTCTTTCCTCATCCTTTGACATTCGTTTCTCATGTTTTTTAAAGTACTTGCGTTTTCGAGCCTGAAGATTGAACCAAGTATAGGCAATTGCACGGACATGTGGAAGAAGTGCCTCAATGAACGGGTGAAATTCATCCTGTGGAAAGAAGTGAAGGAAAAAATGAAGAAGAGAAAAAGAAAACTGAAAGTCATCATCTCATAACTGAAGCAGTATCAAGAAAGGTTTCTGAAAATCTTCAAGTGAAATACAAGACAAAGAGAATAAACACTTAAAAGTTACGCAAATTTCTGCATAACACCTTTTATGAAATTACTACTGTTGTCAGGCAGCAGGCGAGAACTGCATAGAAAATCACATTTTCCCCATATTTCATTCTTTGAAAGAACCATGTGAAGATTTTATTTTATATGCCTCCCCTCACTTCATCCCACAATGCTGCAGAGACTACATAATTTAAAAGCGATGCTACCAAGATGGTTTTTTTTTTTTTCTAACATCTAAATATCTGAGTGAACAGCTAACATCAAGAAAAGTACCATTGCACAAAGAGGACACTATACGGTTTTAAAAAATCTGAGAAAAAATGGTCAGAATGCTGAGGCGAATGCCACAGTTCATTTCTCTTCTCTGTGGCACAGAAACACAAAGCATATACATGCTCAGTGTAATGCCACAGAGTTCCCGCTTTTGGAGCATGCTCTCAGCAAGAGACTGCTGGTGGCACAAAGAGCATGCGCCATTAAACTTGATCCATTTTCTTATCAAACGTCCAACATTCCAGCACTGAAACAGCACCATTCCAGTGGTGGTAACTAGAGAAACCAGTATACAGTAAGGGAAATCAGGCAAATGACACAACGTATCATATACAAATCCTGAATAGAAGCTTCTGCACTTTCAGCTCTTTGGGCTTCCCTCCCACCATCCCTCAAACTCTGTAAAATTAGAGTATATGAAAGTGAGAAGAAAAATTACATTTATGTCCTTCCGGCAGCTCCACTGTGGGTTATGAAGCCCCACGGAGTCAGTTAATTTGTTAACTGATCACATGAGTGTGGCAATTATTCTAAACCCCTTAAAAATCAATCTGAGGTGTACAATGAAAAATGGCAACTTGGCACAAACTTTGCATTCTTTGTGTTTCCGCATGCTGTGGCAAAGAGACATTACGAGTCCACCGCTGGTCAAATGCTGCTTTTATTAAATCTGTGCAATTTATTTACAGTTTCAAAATATCCTTTTCTGTCATTTGGCTTCTCCTGCAAGTTCTTATCTTCTGCCTAGTAGCAACACGGATTGCATTAAGGAGGTAATGCTTAGTTGTTGTCTACAAGTACATCCTATAGCAATTTAATTCATTTGATTTGTCTGCCTAAAGTACCATCCTACACATCTATGTTAATACCTAATTAGACTTTTCCCAAAAACTTCTTTTCCATGAACAAATCTGCTGTTTAAAACAGTGCAATCCACTTATCAAACACTACTGGATTTGGATTTGGAAGGAAGACCTTAGGGGAGGTATCTTCCTGTGTGCAGGCATATTTAGTTTTAAATACCATGCAGATTGCTCATCATACTGAGTGGCATGGTGCAATCAAACTAAAACTGAATCTTTTTTTATGTAATTATATTCAAGAATACAATTAACAAACTACTATTTTAGTTACGCTGCTAGACAAGGAATGAATTATGTTTAATCAATAGGCTGATTAACTCCATTAGGTAAAAATGATGAAAGTATAACTAATGGTCTCAATTATAGAGTGCAGACTGCCATTGTAGAAGCTTCAGGCAAAGGATTTCATGTTTAAATCTTCAAACTTCAAACGAACTTCAAAATTTCCTGAATGGTAAAAAAACCCACTAGATCTAGTTACCTCTCTTCCGTAACTGTTCTCAAATCAATCAGAAAACAACAGAAAAGATGCAAGCAGTCTACCTATGATCATGTTCTCTTCACGGGGGGGAAAAAAAGAAAAGAAAAATGAGGAAAAAAAAGAGCAGAGAGACAATATAGGAAGATACTTCAGGACATAAACAATTACATTACAATATGATACTTAACAAAGACCCACAGAGGCAACAGTTAAACTGATTAGTAGTTTCCAGCACAGATTTGAACAATTCTGATCCTATACTGGCACATAAAACTAGGCCGTGGAAAGAGTTAAACCACAATCTGTTCTTTGTGTGAGAAGGCAGTACTGCTCTGAGTAACCACAGCCCATGATAAGACTTCCCTATCTTCATATGCTTTCAGATGCCATGCTTTTTTTTCCCTTAATTATAACTACTGAATAAAGTTTATTTTTTCTTCAATGGAAGTCATCTTAATTGAAGTTTTCAAATAATAAAAATAAATTTTTGAAAAATGAATGTAAGCATAAAGACTGCACAGTGTTAAATCCTTGCAATTCATTTTCGGCTGAATAAAACAGATTTACTACAGACTTTGAAAATTCTAACAGCTGGGGCTAAAGGTGGGGTGAAGGCAGGTGACTGAAGAGCTTTGGGAGAAATTAATTTTTGTCTCAGTACAATGATTTCCCGTACATCTAAACAGACGTCAGCATTTAGAACTTAAAATGGCAATAAAATAAATGTGGACATATTCTACGCTACTAGAATACTGCACATCTAGTTTTGATTTTGAAGAACAGCATCATAAACTATTTCAGAATGGCTATGCCTTGAGGTAATGCACATAGTATTACCAATAATAACTTAAAGCATTTTGCGTCTATGAAAATGTTATAGGTAAGAATTCCATGGTTTAAATTCCAATCTGTAGTGGCTGAATGTTTCCTTTTCAAAGAGGAAGGGGGGGGGGAAACAACAAACACACACCAAAAACCCCAGCCTTTTAAAAACTGTATTCAAGATTTTCTTTCATAGTATCATTAAGTCCCAAAGATATTAATATAGGTGAAAGATTGTAAAGGAGCAACATGGCAAAGAACATCCTGTTCTAAAGCAATTTTAACAGATATCTTCAAGCAATTCCTTGTGCACCTGGAGTCTTTTCAAATGAAATACTACTTGACAAGAAGTGCCCATAAAAATGACCCTAAATGAAGATTTGCAATTAATCACACACATTCTCCACTAAACTTCCTAAAAAGGCACCTACATAAATTTTTTTCCCCTTAATATTCATAGAAGTAATATTAAATTATTTCTTTTTTTTTTTTTTTATGTGGCACACATCCGTGCATCACCAAGTTGCTCTTGCAATAAAGTGATTTATGAAGGTAAGATTTTCAAATGTCACATCAAATGGCTCAGGTGAACTAATCCATACTGGCAATTTAAACTAAAATGGAAGTTACTATATAACATCTATGTAGTTTGTAAATAAAGGAAAAAATAGCAGTCATCCAATGATGATAGATAGGCCAGGTTTTCTTTTTGGAAAAGGTTAAGGGGATAGGCAGTACATTTGTCCTGTCTTCCACTTTTATAAACTTTGTATTAATTCATGGCAGTTCAAACTGAGGACTGTTCAATAAATAAACCAGTCAGAAGTATAGAAATTTTACACAGAAACCTTCATCTACTACATTTCTCTGCATGGATTTTCTCAGTGCCTTGTGGAACAATATATACGAGGAAAAGAAAACTCAACATATTCTGACTTTCCAGACTACCATAACATAAAAATAAACCTCAGCAAAAATATTAGAAGAGAGCAAGCACTAAAAGGCATGCAGTAACTGCATCCTATTCATGCCTAAGCAAGACAGATAAACGCAGTTTACACTCATTCCAAAACACAAAGAAAGAGGCATATGGGAAAGAGAGGAAGGGAGCCACCAAAATTAAATTGCATTTGGTAAGTTTTCCTCTTCCTTGGAGTTATTTTCACCTACCAAACTTTTATTGAAAATGTGATAGGTAACACCCAAAGTGCCAAGGTTTGCCTTAAAGCTGTACTTTGGATTTTAGACTTGTTTCTAAAAGGTGCTTCAGCGCTATCTCAGCACAAACTGAACTACTGCTTTCCCAAGGAGCTCAGTTCACACAGGTGTTCTGTGTTTACTTTCACCAAAATATTTTCTTCTGAACATATACTACCACAGTCAATGTGTGTTACAAGAGCCCTAGAGACAGAGATCACCATAGAGAGCAGTTTTGGCAGCACTACTTTAATGCAGTCACAACTCAAAGTGAGATGAACCAATCTTTTTCTTTAAACAAACAAAGAATGCAACATATAAATTCTCATTGCCAGTGTAATTTTAATTTTTAATTTATGTATCATTCCAAGTGGGTAGAAAAAGGTTCCAAACTAAAATCAATTTGCTGCAACTGTGTTCCATGTATGTATCACTAAGCGGGAACTGCCTCTGCTTGGCACATGATAGAGCGTGATTGTAAAATATTATGGAGAAGGTATCAACACACAAAAGCCAGGGACTGCTTGTATGTATTAATGGCTGTAGAAGCATGATGTTGTGTTTTCACATACACCTGAGTGCAGTATTTTAATACAGATTTGTAAAGAATCTATTACATACATCAGTGAGTCCAAAAAGCGAGTATATACTAAAAAAAAAAAAAAATAGCATTAGTGCAGGAAACATGAAAATGAACTACCACTGCAATAGAAATGATTGTGACAATTTAGAGTGTTTCAAATGTCAAAACTGCTTTCTGGAGTTGTACTCTGAGGTTTATACTCTGATGCAGAAGTCTTACTCCCTATCAATAATTTCACAGGCTGGACAGTCTACACAGAATTAATTTTTACTAACCGCAGATTCAGTGGTAAGTAATTATTTCTATGTGTGTACCTGTAAGCATGTGCATATCTGTTACACAAAATGCCTCTCTTTTGAAGAAGAAATATCTCAACAGCACTCTTTTCCAGCTTTCCTCCACTGCAGCTCACGTTTACTTGCTGAAAATATCCATATCTAAGTCAATCACACTTAGATGCCAAACAAAATATAAACAATAAAAAATGTGTCAGCCAAAAAACTACAGGACTGTATCCAATCACTGAATAAGCCTTATCATTGTTTCCATCTTCAATCACAATTTATGAATACTTTAGCCCTTCTGAATTGCAATGCTTTGTAACTGGGAAATAACTTAAATCATATTTATTTATTCACAGTGCAACTGTAAGTGCAACGCTGGCCGCTCTATAGCAGCCTTGCAGGAGACGTTACTTTTGCACATTTTCTGCTTCTTTAGCTATTTGTTGCACCAATGTGGAAGCAAGCAGTTATCGCTTAATCAGTTTACATCACATCCTCCTAAGACGGACTTTCACGAAAGCTGCTGAAAACTATTCCCGGGCTTTGCAGATCGGGTTTACCGTCCGGAACAGGCTCCGGTGCCCCGGCGCTCGCTCGCCGTTACCGTACTCCCTGCTCCCGCGGCACCCAGGGAACTTCTCAAACCTGCTCCCGAAACCCCTCAGGTTGCAAAACCCGCGCTTTGCCGCGGTGGGGACCCCCGCTCGGGCCGCGCCGCAGCCGCCCCCCGCCCCGCTCCGCGCAGCGCCGGCCGCCGCTTCGCCCCGCTCCCTCCCGCCGTCCCGCTGACAGCCGCCCGGGACCGGCAGGCGGCCGCAAGTGCGGTTGTAAAACCGGCTCGGTCTTTCCCCGTGCTGAGGAGAGTGCACGTTCCTCCGCCAGCACCACAAATTTAGCTGGGAGGGGGGAAAATGCCGTGCCCTTGTATAACCGAACGAGAAAACTCTGCACAGCTTCGTCATCCCCGCTTACATCGCCCTCATTGTTGGCAAACCACATATTATTAATTAAGCATAAGACGGGATTACTTCGCACCGGCGAGTTGTCGAGTTTGGTCAAAAAAGCACTTTTCCTTTCAAACTCCTTCATTAGGCTCTGCGTAAACTGGCGAGCTGAAAAGAGTGCAAATCGCTTGATTCCAATCAAATCAATACTCCTCAAACCTACTTTTTTAGCGTACTCATGCTCATCTCCAGTTTGTTAACCTTTGACTTCTTATGCACCCACAATTAACAGTATTTGTCTACTGGTGACACTTTGAATGGATCTCCCCCAAACAATGGCCTGGTACAGTTTATTTTCTAATATTCCCTCCTGAGAGAGGAGTTTGGATCTGACAAGCAGTTACAACTGTGCTTTAACCCGTTACAACTATCAACAATGACTCATTAACAACTCACATACATATAAAAATTAAAAAAAAAAAAATCCCAACACACGTAAAAATAAATAAATTAACAAATAAATTAAATAAAACGCGTCTATACCTGAGTGAGACAGATTGGAGAATACATCATGACTTCGCTTTGAGAACACGCTGCCCGGAGAGCCCCTAAGAAAAGCCTCAAAAAGGAATAATTTCATCTATTCATTTTACAGTCATCTGAGACTCAAGGAAGATGAAATCAATCAGGACGGGGCTCTGCTCTGGATCACTACAACTTCACAACAAACCCCAGTCCTCCTTAAATAGCCAAAGATTCAAGTTCACTCCGTGTGCTAGATTTCCCGGGGTGAAATCCAATCTACACTTTTAACCCTCTTGTAGTCGGCGGCTCAGGAGTCTTGCTTTTGCTGCTGCTGCTGCTGCTGGTTGTTTTGCAGATGAGGGGGGAAGGACTCGAGGGGGTGGGGGGGTGGGCGGGAGGATTTTTTTGTTTGCCTTTTTTTTTTTAATCCTTTTTTTTTTCTCCCTTTTTTTTCTTTTTTTAAGAAGTTGGTGGTGGTGCCGTAATAACACGACACTGTCACCACGCTTCCGAAAGTTCAAGGTTACAGCCCAGAGCGGAGCAAGAAGCTCCCGGACAGTGATGGCAGGCGAAACTTCGCCGGGCCGTCGGGATCGTGCCGCGAGGGCGCGCCAGGGCGGGAGCGCGCCCCGGGCGGGCAGAGCGGGCGGCGCGGCCTGCGGGCTCCTCCGGCGGCTTCTGCTCGCCCGCCCCCGCTCGCTCTGCGGGCAGCGGTGAGACTGCCTTCCAAACGCCCACCTTAATAAAAATGATCTCCTGGAAATTCAAACGATAAATCTCTCCCTGGCGCTCCCACCCGATTTGCTCTCGCCCTGTCCGTGTGTGTGTGTGTCCCCCACCCCCAATACCTCCGCCTGTCCCTCTGCAAAACTTGGAAGTTGAAAAATTCACCGGTTACACCCTCTGGACCCTGTTCCAGCTTTCTCCCCAAATGAGACTTAAGTTTTTTTTTTAATTAATTAATTACACAATCACCGCTTACACTCCTCCTACCCCTGCAAACACATTTCTTCTCCACCAGATCCCCTTCCTTTGCCCTCCCTCTGCATTCATCACCACCGAACGCTGCAGAAGGAACGAGCAGGTTTAGCAAACATCCCTCCCTCATTTTCCCGCTCTTCTGGTGGGAGAAAGTTGCGGGGGGAAGGGGGGCGGGAAGACGGCGGCGGGGGCAGGGAGGGAGGGTGGGCTGCCATCTGCGAGAGGCTGCTTTTTCTTCTCCTTTCGGGGTACGACTTTGCCAGCTGCGGCGGGGCACAGACGCCCCCGGTTCCCCCCACACCTCCCGCGGGGGACAGGAGGGAGGGCAGCCCCCTCCGCCACCCTCCCCAGAGCGGGGGACCTTGCCCCGCACCACCCGTGACTGATGTCCCCGCCTTCGCAGGCTGCGGCTGGGGGCGGCAAAGGGGTCTCGGCTCCCGGGCAGCAGCAGAGCACGGGGTCTCGTTTCATTCTCCCGGGACAGCTTTAACCGAGGTGGCTGGGAAAAGGGGGGGAAAGCAGTGAGCGAAACTTAATTTCTGCGCCTGTGAGGAGGACTGCGATGCACTGAAGAGCTTAGGGGGCGCCCGCTGTGTGCGGCCCCTACCCCCAGAACCGCCGCTGCCGACTGCGGGAGCGGCGGCCGGGCGGCACCGGCGTTCCCTCCCGCTGCCAACGCGCAGCCTCCGGCGGCGTCCCGGAGGGACCGCTGACTTCCTCCTTGTCCAAAGTGAGAGTTTATTCACATCAAGCATTTCACAACGACACATCAAGGAAAGTAAGCAGGTTCAAGTCAACCATGAAACGGTCACTTTTTAACCCCGTCCTGTCCTCATTAGGGAAATGCTCAAACACAGCCCATTTTCAAAGGGGGCTCTTAATGAGGAGAGCTTGCCAAGGCTACCAGCTGCAATTCCCATAAATTTACAAACCAAAAGAAGCAGAGGCATGGGCGGGGGAAGGAGAGAGCCCGTACTAGACAGGTAATGTCAAAGGAAACAGCATGAACCAAACGCATTAACTCTTGCAGAATCCACGCTGCATCCTCGCAGCTCGGCTTCTGGCTGCTCTTACACAGTTCCCTCAGATTTGCAAGATTTAAATGCCATGCGTTTTCCCTTCTACAGATCGAATTGATAAGTTACAAGTTCAGAGCATACACTTAGGCAAGAAGGGATGAGGCAAACTCGCGGTTAACCATAATGAGCAAAATTTATTTTTATATCTGTTGTAGAATACCCCTCAAATCCTATAGTCTTTTCTTTTACTCAGACACTGCAAAAAAACCTGACAACACTGGCTTAAAATACTGGAGTTTCCCTTCAAATAAATATTCTATTTAACTGCAGTTAATTTACCATAAAAGACGTTCCCCTTGGCACAAATGCACTGATGTCCTTGAACACACCTCTTTGAGCGTTTGAACTCTTACACAACAAACCATTATTGCAGCCCTGATTTAAAACCAAATAATGCTCCTCTGTCCCCTTTATCCCTCGTATCCCTCCATAAGGATCAGGGCAAGCTCCCAGCACTACATCAGCAAGACTGCCCCTGTGAGCTGCATAGGTGTGAGGCCTCTCCTTTCTCAGGCAGGGCTTGCAGAAGGCCCCACTCTCTCCCAGGATTTGGCCAAGGCACTGCTTTGTGATAGAGTCCTGTGCACCAAAAGCAAGAACTCCCTGGCAAAGTCCAGCAAGCAAGGAGAGGAGAAGGAAAAAACAAATAGAGCAAGGTAAGGGCAGAGAGAAGCTGGTCATTTTCTACAGCACTTGCTACTGCAAGAGATGTGGAGTCAGTGTAAGACTGGGTTTGCATGCCCACAAGAGCTGGGTGATGGTGGGTTTGCATCCCTATCCAGAGCACACAAGGCAGCAGATGAGCACAGACAGCCCTTCAGCATGTGCCAGTATCCCCTAGAATAGCGCTGCTGGGGACCATGACAAAGCCAGACACCCCCACCCCCAGAGCCAGTTTGCTGGCCAGAATTGAACAGGCCCCTCATGTGAAGGCATCTTGGGGTAAATGAAGCTGCCCAGCCAGCACAGCTCCAACAGCACCTTGGCTCCTGTATGATCTAGGAGGCATGACAGGCATAGTACATGTTGCCATTGGTTTGCCTCTGGTTTGACCCTAAGGCTTCTAGTACACCACTGAAAGTGATCACTGAAAGATGCACCCAAACAGCATGTTTCAGCACTACTGCTCTTGGTTAATCCCAGTGGGAACCCATAACAGAGGAAGGCTTTGTCCTGGGAGAACCCTCCACACAAACGCTTGTGCACATGCCTACACCCCCTGCCTTCCTCCATCCCACCTCAACCCTTCAGCTCCTTTCACAGGAAAGCAAGATAAAGATTTTTCCAAAATGGAGAAAGAACTACATTAAAATAATAAAAAAGGATAACTTTCTACTACTTTGTTGCAGAGATGTGTAAAAAGGTATGTGGTAACTGGGTAGCCTGGAGAAATATGGCATTGATGTAGCAAGGACAGCAGATACACTGGCTGGGCCCTGGCATACAGGGAGGCCTCCTAAGAAAGTGGTTCAATTGCTTTCAAATCTTGGCTTGCATGAACTCCCCACACCCCCAAAGACCCTTCTGACCATATACTAAAAATACTGTTACTGCTGCAAGTTCTCTGCCCTTGAATCTCCAGCCTTTTTGTCCTCACTGCCAGAGCTATGCCAATCTCCATGCTGTATCTGGAAGTTCAACTAGCATTTCAGTGTGGGCAATTAAGAAAATAAAAGTCATCATCTGACCTTCCTGGTGAGAGACAATGAGAGCTGTTCTCTAACATTAATCCTAACCCATCAGACTCAGAGAGGACAGGATGGCCTAAGATATCCTGCCTTCAGGTAGGATACAATATGAGCACTGATAGCACGCACTTGGACACACACACAGCTGGGAACAGGTAAACAGGTGCTAGAAAACAAAAATGCATGTTCAGGAACAAAAGGCAGTTATTACACAAGAAAGTGGCAGATACCAAAGCTGCTTGTGAGTCACCCTCACCGAAAGTCTGCACCCTCCCTGCCTCAACACTGCAGGATCTGAGACAGTTCACCTCACAGGAAAGAACCAGAAAGGCTTTTTGACACCTTGGGCAGATGGGCTCACTCCCTACCTCCCATCCTCACTCTCCAGAGCAGTTTTCTGCCAGCAGTGCAGACCTATGTTTTCCCTCTCTCCTACACAGACCATGCTCACAAACTTTACCAAATGCTGCAAAGTGCCATTGACCTCAGATTTAAGAGATAATAACATTTAAAGGTTAAACAGTTAGGCACTTACATGCTACCTAAAGCAGAATTTCACCTGCTGCCCTTTGGCTGGACCACTTCTCAACTGTTTCAAGTTTTAGAGCACAAGACTTATTATGATGCATCAAGAAGAAAGGCATTGCCAATGCTGAAGTGTGAAACCTAAGATTTTCTCAGAATATAAGTTGGCAGTTTGGCCAAATGTCTAAACATATACACTGAACTTATAAGAAATCAAGTTTTTATGAAAATTCCAGTAGTCTCCATGTGAAAATTCCAGCGGTTTCTTTGTGAAAAGAAAAAGAAAAGAAAAAGAAAGATTTTGGTGTATTTAATCTAAAATATTAAGTATCTGAGAACTACCACAAAAACTTTTATGTAAGAGGTCTCTATGATCCAAAATACAAGTTTTGTAGTATTTTTATATCTAGTTTAATAACAATACTGTTAGCTCCTTTTTCACCTTTTGTTGGAAAAGGCCATTAACACATGTCTGTCCAATATACAATTCTTTAGGTACATACATAAATACTGAGTAGCATAAATAGAGTTTAGTTTAGTCAACTATGAGTAACAAATTCTAAATCATATTATATTATCATACTGTTACCTAATGGTGGTTTTATCTGTGTGAGTGATCATGGTGCCTTTCCAGACTTCTTGTACCAGCATATTAACCTACAAAGTAAAGTTTTGCATCTTTTACATTATCAGAGCCTTGGTTGGTTTTCTTACGTGCGGGAATGCCTTCTGGGCATATCTGTAGGTATAAGACTATGTATATGAACATAAAATCAGGAAGAAAACAATAACTAGCTAAATAAGCAACTTGATAATACATTTGTTTATGGGGCCTTGATATTTTTCATATGCAACTGAATTGTAAATTATTTATAACTTAAAATGTAAACAGCAAGCAGTACAACTTCTAAGTCAGTGTGGTGTCATACCAATAAAATTATGTATCATAATAATTACTAGCACTTTTTGTTGGGTTTTGGGTAATAGGAAGAAAAACTTACTGCATATAAACTGTGTATATATATGATCAGATAAAAAGCATGCATATATACAATTGGAAGTAACAAAACACACTAGTGACTCTGTACAGAGACAAACATACATATGACAGGTGTGTGCACTTGACCCCTGTCCACATATGGCTCAATGGGGACCATAATACTTGGACTTTCCAAAGCTCCCAGACCAGCAAATGAAAACATCAAACCTCAAGTGTGAAGCTGTAAACCACAGTGTTTTGGGTTACACAACTGTGCAGTTTTTGTCCTCTCTGCAGGTCACATTCTCAGCCATACAAAGGCATGAAACCCTCTTTCCCAAAT